TTGAAATTGTCAGATGGTGCTCAACAGGAACTGCTTGCAACACGAATGATATGTTACATTTCCACCTCCAGGGCGTTGATGTTGATTACAATGGCAGCGAGAATATGAAAATTACTGATCGATATGAATAGTTTAAGCTTATTAGCAAAATAACAGAATCATCATGTCTAATTTTACTATGTAGTTGACTTTTTTTCTATTCTGTGTTTTTAATTTATGAAAGAATGTACGATGTGATTGACCTGTGATTGAATGTTTAAATGACTCAAAGCATCTGGATAAAGTTGTTTTTCTAATAAAACCAAATGTAATTTGTTGTAATAACCTAAATCAATAAAAACTTTTCTGAATGAACTGCTTTCATGTTTTGATTATAAATATTATTAATGCATAGAACAGCTTTTCTGAGTTTGATTTATCATCCTGACTTGCTTTGTATTCAGGTTTGATTAGATCAGTAAGCAACATCAGTGGTCTGAAGATCATGTGATTTCCTATGGGAAGTTTCACACTAAGTCCTCTGAATTGAAAAAGCATCTAATGACATAGCTCAAATATTTAATTATCTTATGTAATAACGAATAATTGCATTTCTGGACAACATTTTGCACAGATTTTTTGCAACTATAACAGTATTAAAGCAAGTTTGCTGACTTATGTCTCTGTCTGATAGGTCTGGGCTGTGAATAACAGTTCAAGCAGGAAAAGCCTGTGTAACGGTAAGCTTTAAAAAAAAACGATATATTTGACATAATGCATTTTGTTATGCATTTAGGTGCATTATGCTATTAGCTTTCTAAAATGTTCTCAGACTAAGAAGGCACTTTCTTTATTGTAATATATATGTTGTCTTCTGATTTTCTCACAATCCCACTTGAATCTCAGTCCTTAAGCCTTGATGTTGTGGTATCAGATCCGTGAGTATCAGGATGCAGATTACTCTGCTGTGAGGACGATATACTCCACTGGGTTCAGAGAGCATGTTGGAACTGTGTATCTTCTGCCATTGAAGCAACCATGGATTCAAGCTATGCTGTGTGGATTCTGTCTTCTCACTTATATCCTCTCCGGCTCGATCCTGACCTGCATGTTGTGTGTTGGAGGGGTTATGCTGGCTACTCGGATGGCAATGCAGTATATTTTTGAGCAGGGTATTCAGCTTGGGCTCAGAGAGGATCTGCTGGACATCAGGAACTCCTACATGCAGCCTGGAAGCATTAGCTGATTTTGGGTTGCAGAACTGAAAGGGTCTATTGTCGGGACGTTGGGCATTTTGCCCTGTGTGGAGGAGCCAGGTGCTTGGGAACTAAAAAGGATTTCTGTGAAAAAGGAGTTTCGGGGTCGTGGCCTTGCGAAAGCTCTTTGTAAAACTGCTTTGGAATTTGTTGCCAGGCATAATGTGAAGAGAGTGGTGCTTTTCACCTCTATGGTCCAAACTGATGCTCATAAGCTGTATGACAGCATCGGGTTTGAAAAGGAGGAGGAGTTCGTGTGGCCATCACTTCCTGCCAGGCTGATCAATTTCATGGTGTTTAAATATGTACACAGAAATGGCGGTGTCATGTCATGCTAAAAAACAATTGTAAAAAGTTGTGTGTGATCTGTCAAGATCCCAATGGAGGAAAAAACATTTGCCAAAAATGTTTAATTTTATATCAAATAAACATAATTCTAAAAATAAACAAAGGTTTCACAAAGACAAATTCAGATGATATAGTGTTTTTTGATATCCCATTCTTTTTTAAATCTAATTTAACAATTAGGTACAAATCACATGTTTTGTTATAAGATTATATATGTATGATTAATTATCTAACAAAGTTGCTGATTCCCATTGGCTTCTATAGTATGGAAAAAATACCACTACGCAAAGTCAGAGGGGACCAACTGAAGGTGAACTATCACTTTAATTCATGGAAATTTAAGTTAATCAACATCACTACAAACCAATATTTTGTCCCAAATTGATTTAGACTGCACTAACTACAAATATTAAATGAATAATTCACCCAAAAGTGAAAATTAGCTGAAAATATCGGAAAACATCACAACAATCACACAACTGTGAATAACATTGCTTTCAAACTCGCAATTTTTCATTTGACTTTAATTGATGCAGTCGAGTCCTGTGGATTATTGTGATGCTTTTATATTTTTTTTAATCAATATTATTTAATGCAGGTGAATAAATTTTCATTTTTGGGTGAACTATTTGTTTAATTTAGACAATTAATTTAAGATAAAATAAATTGAAGCCCTAGCTGTAATTACAACCCTGTTACTGACAGGCTGCTTAATCAGGATTTTAGACTAGCTATTTAGATATGTCATCAATTTAGTCAAGCGACCTTTCACTGAGGGTTTTATAGCTTGAAAGTGTTTCAGACACTATTTTGTAGACCACCCTTTTCGAGGTAAACATCCCTCCCGTCGTATCCAGTGAGTCGCGCTCCTCAGGAAGTAGCTGTCACATCCACATTGTCCGGGAATACACACAACACGCATCAAAAACATCACGGTAAGTTCAAATGCATGGTTTGAAATAAAGAGCATGAAAGAACCGTTCAATGGCCTCACATCCTCGATGTTTTTTTCGATGTATTTTCTAATCATTCTCAGTTGAGGGGTGTAGCGGCAGTAGTATAAATAGGCGGTGGCTGATCGATGGGAGGATTGTTGAGCTGCTGGCGATGCGCTCCCCTTGAATTAATTGTTTTTACTATTCACTACTACAGCATTACCTAAATTAAAGTGAAGACTGTATCATTCTGCAACATTTATTTATTTATTTATTTGTTTATTCATGTGGGGGAGGGAACAGACGGACCAGGCTGGCAGGTGCATCATCAGTAGATCATCACTGCACTGGAAATAAGCAAATGTGCACAATCACACTGCTTTCATTCCTCTTGAATACAAGTTTAATTCATTAATATAGTTAATATAGTATAGTTTAATTCATTAATTCTAAGAGAAGTCATTAAACAGACTATTTTATTTAATATCTTCATTTTAGTAATGACTGACACCAATATTTTATATATTGTGTGTGTGTGTGTGTGTGTATATATATATATATATATATATATATATACATGCATATACATATATACACATATATATGGATTACAACTGTTTTATAATAAAACAGCAAGTTTTATTATAAATATAGTAAACCACCACACATATTATAAGAATACCATGTACAGCCATGTTTAAACATTACATTTATGTTCTTGTAAAACATATTATGGAACGTCTCACTGATAATTAAGCTAAAACAGTGTTTATGAGTGGACACTCCCTTGTGTCAGCTGATTTTTTCCCCCACTGAAGCATGTTCTCCTCCTTATATTGTTGTTTTGTAAATCCTCTCTGACCCTATATTGTATTTTCTGCATTTCCTAGCATTTAAACATCATTCCCCACCAAAACCCCCAACGTGCCCTGTTGATTCCTTGCCTGATAGAGTGTAACGCTGTGTATCACCGATACAGATGAGAGCCACTGTTTTATAGAGTAGTCAGAGGAGAACAGCTGTCATTGTGTGATTTATTTGTGCATTGTCTGAATGTCTGCTCAGATTGACCCACAGTGGCTGTTACTGGTTTTTGTAAGCACAATGTTTTCAGCTGTGCACCTGTCCTTTCTAACTGTACTGTATAACAGTGAACAGTGAATGTGGTGCAAACATCAGCATTTGCTTTCTGTGCAGAATGCATAATACAGAAATAAGCCCCCGGGGATTCAGTGCAGTTGTAGTTTATAAAGAGTGTTAATCCTGTCAAGTGTGTATGTGTGTTTGTTTGTCAGTCTGTCGAGGCTGTGCGCACTTCTCCTCACTGAACTCACTCTCTGTGTACGGCTTTATATTGGAAGCTGCGTCACATTCAAATAGGCCTGGAGAGAAACAGAGAGGCTGAATAGAGAGCCGGCCTTAAAGAGACCTGCTGCCCTAAACATCATCTTATATGCTAAGCATGTGAACATTTGTGCGTGAATGTTGTTTTTCAACAACAACATAATTGCCCAGGGTACCACAGTAAAAAGAGCTGTTAAATCAGTGATCATAGCCGTACATGGCCTTTAGTAATCCAGTGATTAATATGTAAAGGATAATGAACCGTCAGCTGGTTATTATCACAAATCCCAACAGTGTAATCAGGACTCTCTTGTATCACACTGAAGGAGTTTATTTTGCAATAATAAAGTATGTTATCCCGGGTTTTACATTGTTACTTACCACATAAATAAACAAATAGACATAAATATTTATTTGAGTTTAAATTATTCTATTATGTGAGAATATCTGCCTGTTGTGATGGTCAGTTATACAATTTAGTTTCATTATGCAAGAATATTTTACAGCAGAATGTTGCCATTTTGTCATCAGAGTCAAGTATTTCAGAGCTATATAGCAATAATTTAATGTAATTTGATAATAATTATTATTTAATAACCTATATAATCGAAATGCTAAAAGATAATTAAAACACAATTACATGTTTCAGTTGTGTAATAAACAAAAATGCTATTTATTTAATGTCTTAAAGGGTCAGAATATAAAGTGACAATCAATACGTGTTAATAAATACATTTATACATTTTGTAACTATGGGCTGATGGTCTTTTTAATTTGCTTTTGACTACGCTGCACTTATTTAGTATATACTATTTTAGTATGTATTAATATTTTAAATGAGCTGTTATTTTTATACATTTTCAGCTTTATACATTTTCTTATTTAGCTTAAATAAATATCTATTTCATCTTTAGTTTATAACAGTACTGAGTTGCACTGTAAATTATAATAATTTGATCATCCTCTAGGCCTGTACAGTGTGTATGTGAGAAGACTGGGAGAAATGACTCTCTATTCGTTTTTTAATCACTCAGTACATTTACATGTTAATATAATTTTGCTGATTATTCAGTGTTGGAGGGCTTTAGGACCCAGTTCTGCCTCTTTTGCTCTCCTGCAGAAGGCAGCGCAGACATTAGCGCAGTTGCACTGCTGTCACACACTCACCTACCAACACAGATCAGTCAGACAGACTTACACACATCTCACTCCAACTCAATCTAACGCTGTGATCCTTCTGACATCTCACATGTTAGCGGGTTCATCTGAGCTCAGACATCCAGTAGGACCTCCTCTGGTGTCTCTCCCTGTGTCCCCTCTGGGGTTCAGTCTGTGCCTCTGCTGGAGCTGGACCAAAACGCACATCTCTGATACTCATCGTATGGACAAAGGCTTGAGTGATGAGAGTTAGGTGGAGATAGAGAAAGACAGACAGAGAGATAGAGAGACAGTGGGTTGGGGGGTTGAAAAGCCTTTGCTGGTTGCTGAAGCAAGGCAAGGAACCGTTGTCAACGGCGACGCAGGAGCAGCATGTCTCAAATGAAACGATACACTTACAGCAGGGTGAGTGACATACGGTGGACATACTTTCTGTTTCCGTCTGCCGCCGTACATGTGAATACATGCATGTTTTTACTTGTATTAAAGTAGAATTAGTGTGCAGTTGTGTATGATGCTGTGCAGGTGTTGTAGCATGTGTCAGGCGAGAGCATGCATGGGCTCAGTCAGTCTTCTGGAATTTGTAATGCTCAGCTTTTGGCTAAAATGCATTTGCTTGTGTACAAACTCCTACAATCAATTGCAGTGTGTGTTTGAGGCAGTTTTTACTGCAGGCCAGTAATGCCATTTTTGACAGTTGCTGAGTAACACATTAAAAAAATCATGACACACAGATGAATAGGATACATTTTGATGTTCATTATTCAGCTAGACTTGTCTGCACTGTGTCATGTTATCTTGGACTAAAAATGTTTTGTAAAATCATATTAAATTTGATTCTGTTAAAGGGATAGTTCACACAAAAATGAAAATGATCTCATCATTTACTCTTTCCAAACCTGTATGACTTTCTTTGGACAAAAATGGAAGTCAATGGGAACCAAGTTTGGTTACCAACATTCTTTAAAATATTTTGTTTTGTGTTCTGCATTCAAAAGTCATTCAAATTTGGAACAACATGACAGTGAGTAAATGATGACAAAATTTTCATTTTGGTGGACTATCCCTTTTAACTTGACTACAGCCCAAATCCTAATATTAACAAACTGAATCAAATCCTTTAGCTCAACATTAGTCTTATTTCAAACCCTTTAAAATGTAGTAATACCTTTCTGGCTAGATCTATATACATAAATCTTATGTCCTTTTCTCGCATGAAACATTAGACAGCACTACTATGAACATAGAAATCCAAAATGGACTGTTAGTGAAAAGTGATGCATCCCCACAAGGATAATAAAACCAGAATTCATTTATAACATTGGGAGCAGCCAGCAGTTCCCTGTGAGGAAAACATATTAATAAACATAACAGATATGTCTTAATGTGAAAAGACAAAACGGTGAGGTGTTGTATGAGGGTTAGAAGATTCAGTATAATAGTTCATTATAAAAACAATAGAAGTCAAGAAGTTGAAGTCCCCATCATGATAGAAAAGCAAATGTGTGTGTTTATTTATTCATGTGTACTTATTCCCTGAAACATTTTGTGGATTGTAAGAGCTCTTATAACAGAAGAGGTTAAGTACTCAAATATATGCCTTTATTTAATATTTACAATACGATGAAAGCATGCGGGCAAAGATTTGATGGACAACATTTAATTCATTCAAGAGCATCAGGCTTAGTACGCAAATCTCCTCAAACATAGACACTTTATGTTTAGCACATGACTCACACATGGCAAAGCTCTGCCGTTTAAGCTTCAAGTTCGTAGGTAACTTAAAATCATTCAAATTCTTTGGTTTTATTTTTTAACAAGCTCCACAATATCCATATGAGCAATGACATTCCTAAACCCACAGTTTTCCTCCCTTACTGACACAGTTAGTGACTTAATTCTGCTGAGTCACAAGTCAGTTTTCAGTAACTCCTGTGTCCTGCATGTGAACATGACGTATCCTTCAGCTGATTTTAAAATTAGCCTGTAACTTTATTAAATCTGTGTAACGAATGAACATGTCACATTTCAGTGAGCTGCTGCCAGCACAGCTCTGTTTTCGAGTTGCAGGAGAGGTCACATCTATCACTTCTGTTCTCTTTCTATTGTTCCATTGTAACCTAATAATGTTCCCAACTCTAAATTCAGATCATTTAGTTTACATTAGAGTCAGCAAGAATAATAAATAACACTGCAAATAGTGTGCCTTATCTTGTAATCTTTGTGTGACCAGTACTTATTTTTAGTATACAGTAGTTTCAGAAATAAAACTCATTTTGGACCCCAGCCTCTGTGTGATTAGAGAGAATTGAAAGGACTAAATGGAAGTTAAATGGAGCAGGTCTCTCAGGATCAGCTGGTGTGTGTGAGTTCTTGCACACTGTGACTGCAAGTAACAGTGATGTCTTCTGCAGTAAAGAATAAGGCTGCGTCACAAACTTTTTTAGCCCTGCGCTCTGGTCTGAGTGCTCCTAAATAACCCTCAATTTTCCTCTTAGACATATAATCTGGAGGGCATGAAAGACTTGTTCAGACACCTAATGAGGAGCCTGCAAATGGCTTTAACTCCCCCAGATTGTCTAGTCACAGTATTTTAACTTTATTCCACAAAATGTCTAAATGTCATTGCATTTGATAAATTATACAGTTTGTCCGAATCTGACTGACTGAACAGCATTGCAAAAGTGCTGAGATACAGTGCAACATCACTGGCACAGTTGACCTGTCGTAGGGAGTTTTATTGATAGGCGATTTGACCGTTCATAATGCCGAATCTGCCATTTTTGTCCGACAAACAAACCAGACAGGAGAGTAGATTAACGTTGGTGGACTTGAACTTGAAAAATGGTGTGAATTGACGTCTTTCCATGTTTGAAACAAAATACTTTCTAATGTTTATTCATGTTTATTTCATGCTATAACTAGTATAGTAAGAAATGATCGGTTCACGTGCTGTTTCAACTAAAGCCCAAGACACACTGCATGATTTTAGCAATCCTATAAGATCACTGCAAACCACACTGTGCGACATGGATCTAATAAACTTGGGTACGACATGCATGTAGACTGTACAATGACCTGTTGACTCGTAGGCAATGACGCACATAGGCTACTATAGAAGAATAAAACATCATCAGCAATGCGCTAGTAATAAACAAAAAGAGCATGATGAATCACACTTTAGCAGTTGTAGTTTTTATGTGTGCTGAAAAAAATTGGAAGTGGCAAAAGAGGAAGGGATAAGAGCTTGAGGTTAGCAACAGTTTTACTTTTTAGTGCCATGTCGCTGGTCAGTAAACGTGGGTCATAGCAGCAAACACACTGTGTGCGATGATCATGCTGAATTTCTGAAACTCTCAGAAAATTATTGAAGGCTGTCTTTGGTCGCAAGACCGTGACAACGGCCATTTTTGAACCTCTCTCACTGTACGATCATTTGAATTTCGAATATTCGTCGAATTTAAAATAAAAATCCACATTTTAGGTGTGCGTTAAGAAGGCAGCCTTATTAGTGGCGCACGAGATGCGATGACGATGTAACTAAGTGTGTTGCATTATAATGTTTTTGTTAACCTATCCAGTTGAAGCCACTAGATGCAGCGCTGCTGCGTTGTTAATGACAAATATTGCGGTAAAAGAGAACATCAATGCAGAGAAGATCTTGTTTATGTCAAAACTGAAACCAAGCCGTTCACACAGAACGCATATTTCGCGCATTTTCTAGATGGACATCTATCACCGTTGCACTCGCGTCTCGCACAAAAGAGCCTCATGTTTAGAAAGCCATGTAAAATGAATGCAAGTTTAACTTTGAAAAAAACATATATCGAGACTTTATGGCGGGTTTTTCCCCCATCCCACTGCATCTCATGTTTTTAAATGAAAAATGTACTGTGTGATTGACTTTCGGCCCTTTGTATTAAACTATGCATACATATGATGCTGTTTTGTTTCTTGTTGTTTAAGCAACTTAATTAATTATAATTGGTTTATAAACATTATTTTAAACATTATGCACTTTTTTCACAGATAGTCATGTTATCTTTGAATAGCTTTGAATAAACCTGCATTAGTAATATTTTGCTAGATGCGCCCTCTTGTGGTCTCAGAAGAGAAGCCAAAAGCTTTTCTTCACCCTAGCTGAAATTATGCATTTTAAATTTGAATATAATTCGAATTTTTATCATATTTAAGTACAAAATTCTAATTAATTTTTTCAGCCATTTTGACAGCCCTACTGTACGATATAGGAACACCGATTAGGAGCCACTGTCACAGAAATCGGCACGATTGTTTCACGATACCTATCTTTTGGGACAGCCAAAAATCGTGCAGTGTGTTTCACGCTTGAGGCGGTATAGCGATCTGTCAAGACACATTAAAGAGCCACAAAACGGTATTTATTGTTTGAATTAGGGCTGCACAATTAATCGAATTTCTAATCGCGATTACAATTATGGATGCCAAAATTACGTAATCGTTCAAAGCGGCAATTAATCGTTATTCTATGTGCTTAAGATGCTTTTTTTTCTTTCTACATGTTATCTTAAGGGTTTTCCCATTGTTTTAATTTTAGGTTTGAATTTCTTAAAAAATGACAAAATTTGAAAGCTGAGACTTTGTTACATACCAAAACGTAACCTGCTCTGTTTTGTCTGTCCACGCATTGTCAGTTTCCTCTTCGCTCTGTGATGTATTCCTTCAAACAATTCGTTCATTCTGAAATGAAACAAGTGAACTGTTTTTATTACAACATGTACACCAGACTGGATGTGAGAGGTGCGATGCGAAGCAGCAATAAAACCCATTATCACTAGTAGGGCTGTGCGATATTGAAGAAAAATGCGATATGCGATAACTCATTAAATAATGCGATATTCGATATGCGATACGATAATGGTTAAAGTGCCACATGCTCAGATGAATCAGTTTTACTCAGCTGTTGCTGAGTCAGTTCTGTGAACTATAACTATCTTGTGTCTCATATATATATATATATATATGGTTATTTGTATGCATGTATGTACCAAGAGTTCCTGTAAAACCACAACAAATTCCTTGTTTGCGCACACTTAAGTGGTGAATAAAGCTCATTCTGATTCTGATTCTAATAAGAAAGCACCCCTACAACAACTTCTGAAAGTGAACGGTAGTGTTTTACTCAAGCATTACATAAAAATGTCATTTTAACATTAGTGTAATTATTTTAACATGAGTTTAGGAACTGAATAATAAAAAGGAAAAATAAAACACTGCTTAGTATTTCCTCTTTGAATTCAATATGCACTGATTCTTATTTAAGCTACAAAAGTTATTTAGGTAAGAGCAGTGAGTGATTTTCTCTTTGTCTTTTGTTCATGGCCCCAAATATTGCAAGCTGTAGCGATATGCATATTGCGATATGTACATTTGCGATATTTCGATAATTTCGATATATTGCACAGCCCTAATCACTAGTGATGCTGTCTACTGGATGCAGCGCCACACGACAAGAACCCCACAGTAAACTGTTGCCTTGTTCTATTTATGACATACTGACACAAAGTAGTATATGATTTTGCAATGGTCGCTTTGTCACGTCCAGTGTAGACAGACTTTAGCTGTTGCGGTGCGGTGTTAGTCATTGAATCATTCATTCAACAGATTTGTTCAGAAACACTGAATTAATCAGGATCGAACACACGATTACTGGGTTGCGTGATGTTGCAAAGGTTTTGCTGTGACTTCGTTTGAAACTATTTTTGTTGACAAAGTAAAAAGAAACTGACAATATTGTGTATTATCACATCAGTCTGTCTGTCTGTCTATCTATCTAAAGTTTAAACCTGACATCCTTCTTTTGTTAAACATTTTTCTTTAAAAGTGTGCTTGTACTGTCTTTCTCTAATTAAAGCCTTTAGATTTAATATTTTGTATCTAATGCAATGACATTGATGCACTTCTACTGAATATGTGACTAACGTTTCCAAATACTTTTTAGGGCCACTATACATTTTCATCAATCTACCATTTTTGATACAATCAAAAGCTCTTTTTGTCCTTTAAGAGTTTTTCTCTCTTGTCCCCAGACCACCAGCAGCGGCAGCAGCAGGATGAGTTCAGATGGAGGTGGGCGGCCTGTTAAGGTGGGCTCTCTGGTTGAGGTCATTGGCAAAGGTCATCGAGGCACCGTGGCATATATTGGAAACACCCTCTTTGCCTCTGGAAAATGGGTGGGAGTCATTCTAGAGGAACCTAAAGGCAAGAATGATGGGACTGTGCAGGGTAAACGATATTTCACCTGTCAGGAGAACCATGGGATATTTGTACGCCAATCACAGGTACTCCCATATATGCTTGCATATATATAAACACTGACAGGTGAAAACATGTAAATGTTCTTTTGTTGACTTCTTAGAAACTGCTGTGACCCTCTTGCAGATCCAGTTAGTGGAAGATGGGGCTGACACGACATCTCCTGACACACCTGAAGCTGACACCTCCAAAATGCTGAAGCGAGGTAGGCAAACAGTTCCAGGCACATATCTGCTTGCAACCATATTTTTCACATGAAATTGTAATGATCTCATTTTCTCTTTTATTTTCTCAGAGATAATTGAAGGTCCAAAGTCAAACAAAGTGGTGAGTGAGGAAAGGGGCTTCAACATAACGGATACGTTCTTACATTGGTACTTGTGCACAGTGTTTCTGTGAGACTGTGTGTATATTCATAACTTTTTTCCTGTACAAACACTGGTGCCCTTTTGAAAAGGTGTTTAGTCTCACTTAGCAAGACTTTTGCAGCTTATTTTGGCTAAGAACCACCCACTCAGACAGGAAAGGTCGGTCTGACCCATCTTAAAAGCCAACAGCCATAGTTAGATTTTTTTAATGCCATGTAGGGACGAGTTTATCTGAAATTGTTGATACATACAATAATAGTCTGTTTTGTCACTGGCTGTACTGAAAACAGCAGAGAATTTATTAGAAATGTGTGTAATTAGAATTTCTGAATAAATACGTACTATTATTTAGACCAAAGAATAATACTACTCAGTTCTTCTAGTGAATATACAGTTTACTTGCTAGTGAAAGGCTCAAAAGAAACTCTGAATTTCTTTTGTAAAAAATGATGTCAGTATTCTAGAAAACTTGGGCATATCCAATTATTATTTCTTCCTTGAAGGTTCATTGCTATCACTTAAATTTGCCGGGCATTGGAACAAGTTTTTAATGCGCTGGACCCTTCTTCCTTGAGCCCATTGTGTAGGCTCTTAGAAAAGTTGTGTAGTGCCAGCCAGTCAGATTAGAGCTTATCCCATATTTGTGTGTAATATGCATTTGACAGTCTGAGAATGGACTGTGGGTATGTCATCTGAGGCTACTTTACATTAAAACTATTGCGTATTACCTCTCCTTTCCAGCAGAGGGAGATATAGTAACACTCTTTGGCCATGACATATCGCTCATCCTGTATCTGTGTGTGTAAAAGTGAAACGTGTTTCTGATTCCCTCCTGATTTTTCACCTCGTACATGAATTTAACAAGCATGTCTTTGCACATTGTAATTCCTCCCAACCAAAAAATGCATACGATATTGCATGAACACACATATAGTCTTTCTCTCTTGTCCCTTGTGAAAAAGAAGTGTGCGTAATTGTAGGCTATTGAGTACTTCAAATTTTAAAAGTATATTTAAAAAAAAACTGTACTTGCAGATAATACAATATTGTTTTATAAGTTTTTAAAGTTCATTGTTTCAATAATCTTTTGTCATGCTTTAAAGAAAAACACTTATTTTGATGTGTCGACTAACATACTAAAACACTAAGCACAACTGTAGTGTGCTATTTGATATTACATTTAAAGATTATACATTTTAAATTAATTGCAACTTCATCATTACAAATGTGTAATTACAAATATATTTTAATACACGTCATACAAGTTTCACTAGAAACAATATTAAAGTATATTTTAGTTTACCATAAGTGCTTGTCAGTACATTCAACTGTAATAATAATTATGCAATAATTATGAAATTACACATAAAGCTGTACTTAAATCCTACTTAAATGGATCAAAAAGCACTTTTAAGTTGCATTTACTATAAATATAATACATTTTCATTTATTGTAAATAACATACTATTAGGGGTCTGAAAATGTTACATTCAGTTTGCACTTTAGTATATAAGTACTCTTTTTAAAAAATATGCTGAAGTGTACGTATTTTTCACAGGGAATCCTACACTCACTAATACAAACATGCACGAACGCAACCTGTTTGCGTCACAGACACGTAAAGTTTCTGACTAAGATGCAAAAAGATTGTTGCGCTGTTTACGTGGGAGTCTTGCTGTGTTTGTATGTGAGAGACATTCATGCTTATTACAAACACACTGACTGATCAAACTTTAATCTGTCACCTCTTCCTCCTCCGTCTGAGTCTGCAGCGAGGAACCAAACCCAAAAAGGTGCTGCATGTTTCTCTAACCTCTGTTTCCATAGCAATGACAATATTGAATAGCTCTGCTGCATGGCATCACACAAACAGCACATTACCTGTGTGTGTGTGTGTGTGTTTGTGTTCATCAGGAGTGTTTCTATATTGTTTCTGTTAATTTTATGTACATTTATTCATGTGTGCTAGAGTGCTTTGCTAGCTGGATGGCAGTGTTCTTTGATGAATGACCGCTTTTAAATGGAAATTATGAATTAGCATGCTGAGTATGATGGATTTATGTGTGTGAGACAGACCTAGTGAATGTGTGAGTGAAAGAGATTTGACTTTATATTTTACAGTATGTAGTGCTTTTGGTGTGTTCAAGTTAGGTATTCACCTTGACTTTGTTACTGAGATAATTTTAAAAATTAGTTGTGGTCAGTGTGATTTTAATTAATATGCATTATTTTATAAATTCTTAAAAGTTTTAATGCACATTTCTTTCTTGATGTTAGGGCTCCACATGTATGGTAGTCATTTATCTCATAAATTGAAGGTAAAGATTGACACAAAAGCCCTAAATTGAATCACTACATATTTATCTTTGTTCATCCTCTTATACAGTTCAGAACCAATATTCACACTATTTTGTATTGATATACAATTATTATAAAAAAGGCTGAGACCACATAGACAATCTAAGATTTAAAATGTAGTTTACCTCTAGAAATATACAAAGTTCTAGTATTTTGAAAGCAAATAATTTTATGATGTAAAATGTAAAAGAATTATGAAAGATTATGCACTATTTTTACATCACAAAATTATTAAATTATGGTAAATTTGAAAAAAAACAACAACTACATTTGTGTATTGTAAATAAGCATTGTGTTTTACTATGATATAAGACTGCTTGATGAAAGACTGAGCATTTCCTTCCCTCTGAGACAAACCGTGTACTGTAGCCTGGCTTGGCATTAGCTGTCTTGTCATTTGATCACCACTGAAATATTAGACTTGAAAGCTGTGTGTGTCCAGCGTTTTCTTCTAAATGTCAGTGCTTGGGGTAATGCTGTTTAGGAGGTTATCTAGTTCAGGCTGTCAGTATGAATTGTTCGGTGCTCTTGCCCTGAGGTTGAAAGTATAAATGGACATTAATGGAGAAGAGGACCTGTGTTTAACTGTCTTAAACCTTGATTCAACATAAATAAACTCAGCATGAATTTGTGGGGTTTATGATTACTTTATTGCTTAAAGCTAAAGTCACAGTGAGTGTTAAGGTTTTACAAGCTGCTTTTTGCCAATTTTAAGAGTCCACCAAAGTTACTTAATCTTATCCCATGGATTAAACCATGGTGGATCTGTGAATAACTAAAGAAACTCACAAATTCTGTGTAGGAATTAGGGCTGGACAATATGGCCAAAATTTATATCACGACAGGCTATATTTCTTAATTTCAGTCGATACGATATAATTCCGATATCGATATGCTGCAGAGAACTGAAAAAAGAGTGAGCAACAACGAAAACATGTTGCTGGAGAAGGGCTTATTGAAAATGCAGATTCATTCTCTGCCAGCAGGAGGCGCTTTTGGAGCGGCAGAAACAGTGGTTTCCCCGGTAACGGCTGTACACAAAACAATGCTGCATTCATGAACACTGCTTTATATCAGATAAAAAGAAAAATGTCATCGCAACGTGCTCATGTTTTTTCAACGAAGTCAACCGCCACAAATAAATCAGTGTATGGGATACCCTGATTACTGCTTATGTATATTGAAATATCGGAAATGTGTTTAAAAATCATGTTACCGTTATTGAAAAAATTACATTGCGGTATATAGCCTATTGATATTGAATTAGTGTCCAGTCCTAGTAGGAATCCAAAATTATAAAGGAAGCAACACAAAAATGTGCAAAAATTGTATATAAATAATAATAATTAAAAAAGTATAATAGGTATACCACCCATTGTAAGCTTTTGTAGCAGTGAAAGTTTTGTTTTCTGAGAGTGTATAATATATAATACAAATATAAATAGCATTGTAGCCTATCTGTTAATATGAATAGCATCTAATGCTAATTTTTAAATGTTATTTTTAGTTTATATATATATATATATATATACATACAGTTTATATATATATATATATATATATATATGTATATATATATATAAAACAGTATAACATCACAAGTACAGTAAAAGCAGTAAAAAAGTTCTATGGTAAAACACATTCAAACACTTTCAAAAGCTTGATTATATGAAACACATTCAAACACATTCAAAAGCTTGATTATATGAAATCTGTAATAGTAGGTGTTCGTATTTAGTACTAAGTCACAAATAATAAGCCCTGATAAATACAGGCGGTTCATATGAAATGGCATATTAAGACTAGTATAGAATGCAGAGAGAAAACAGTGAAGGTCCAGGATTATTTTTCATGTTTGTTCATCCCTCTCTCTGTTTTCTACTACACATAACTTTTCTCTCTTGCAGAGCTGTAATGTGATATATCAATCTGCCTCCATCCCTCCCCACTCCGTTCTGTAATGGAACCTCAAATAACGATGCGCCTGCTCTTATAAACCGCAGTAATGCATTTAAAACATACAGAAACACATTTCAGATCTTAAATTGATTTAAAAAGAACTAAGGGTAACACTTTACAACAAGGTCCCATTACGTAATGTTAACTAACATTAACTAACAACATTTTTGGGTGTACATATCTATATGTGTTAAACTTGTGTCTAAGTTTAAACTATAAACATGGTCTGCTTGCATTCACAGACTGGAGAGCCCATAGAGATACTAATGGAGTGTTGCTAGGATACAGGCCAGACTCCCATCAGTCCCTCCCTCTCTCCCTCTTTCCGCTTTTGTTCCAGCCTGTCTCTCTCTCGTCTGGAGGGAGGGGTGGATGTGTAGTGATGTAATGTGCTTGCTAGGCAGCCGTTGGCACAGCAGAGCGGCACTGAGAGCTTACGAGTGGAGAGAGCAGGAGAGCCAGAGATGGATGCAGACAGAGAGAGGCGGCTACTGTTTAGCAGAGCCTCAAGGACAGCGTTATAATCAGAGAAGTGTTTAGAAAGGGGCTCGGTTCAGTTCGGTGCAGTGCAGGAGAGGGGAGTCATTTCAGCTGCAGCGGAGACGACCTGCAACACCGTCGCTGTGTGTGTGTGTGTGTGTGTGTGTGTCTGGCTAGCACTTGCCAACTGCTGTATGAGTGTGTTTGTGGCTTTGCTATGGGCTTGGCCTGCTCTCATCTCGATCTGCTGTTAATGTGACTCAATCCTTCTTCCTGCTCTTTTTCTGCACCTGGTGTGTGTGTGTGTGTGTGTGTGTGCACCTGTTTGTGTGTTTCCTCTTCAATCGTCAATATGATGAGACAGGCACCTACGACTCGTAAGGTACAAAAGATTGTTTACTACGTCTGTGGCATGCAAAATGCTCAGTGGTTTATTAAGGTGTTTGTGTGATTTTTAGAGATGATTTTCTGTTTGATTGTTGGTATGTTAGTGCATGTGATAGGTTGTTTCCTATTGTTAGTGTTTTAGCAATTGCTAAAAGATCCATTTTAATTCAGTCGTCTGAGTGATTAGTACATTTTGTTCTCTTAATAGGTGACTATAACTAAAATGATCTGATGATGTACAGTGGCCACAAAAAGTATTTAATGTAAAAATGTTTGAATGTTTTTGTATGTTCATATAGAATATCAAAATGTGGTATTTATGTTAAATGGATAAAGCACAAACATACAAAAAAAAACATTTAAAAAAAAGTTTGTTCTAATTTCAAATAATAAAACAACAGGCATATTGTTCAAAATTATAAGTATTTGGACACTTTCTGATTAGTTGACCATATTCATAGTTGAAATTATTCAGTTGCTCTGACAGGACACTGTGAAAAACACGTACTTTGTTTTTAGTTTTTTCCAGTGGAATGAAATTCATAAGTTTGACTTTAGGGCCACTGTTTGTATATACATTATATAAAAAAAATGGGGTCAGTAAGATTTTGTTGAAAGAAATTAATACTTTAATTCAGAAAAAGTGCATACTGAAAGTCACAGAAAAGACATTTATGATGCTACAAAAATGTATTTAAACTTTTTATTTGAACCTTCTATTCAGCAAACAATCCTGAAAAAAAATCACGTTTCCACCAAAATATGAAGCAGCATAACTGTTTTTAACATTGATAATAAAAAATTCTTGAGATGCAAATCAGCATATTAGAATGATTTCTGAAGTATCATGTGACACTGAAGACTGGAGTAATGATGCTGAAAATTCAGCTTTGCATCACAGGAATAAATACATTTTTTTAAATATATTAAAATAGAAAATAGTTATTTACAATTGTAAAAATATTTCATAATGTTGCTGTCTTTACTGTATTTATCATAAAGTAAATGCAGCCTTAGTGAGCAAAAAAACGTCTTTTAAATCTTACTGACCCCAATCTTTTGTATGATAGTGTAACTTATGTAACTGGCATACAGTTAAATTTTTTTTTCATATTATGCATATTGTGTTTGCCATAAAATGTATATACAACAGGTTTATAACAATAACATGAACTCTACAACAGTGCAAACATGTGCTGACCGTCTGTGCGTGTATGTGTGCATGCCTGTATGTAAACGAGTGTACTTGTTGTTTGACCCGGTTGGTGCCAGGCACTCTGCTTTGAGGGCAGACAAATAGTGCCATAGAGAGGGTTACTGTTTGATACTTTATGTGCTAAAAGAACATTTTTGATATATTATGGCACAAGCGAGCTTATCATCATGTGATGGAAAAAAATTGTGCAAGTCGTTTATTGAGGCTTTCAGATTCTTCAGTTCTCTTTTGATGCATGTGCCTTTTTTCTGTTACTAATCTTTACTATATATGTGTTTTCTCCTATTTTTCCTTGATTCTCTATTCTTCATCTGTCTACTGACCTATGGTGGTCATATATCTGTAAACGTTTGTCTTCTTCTCAGACCACCACCAGAAGGCCCAAGGTGAGCTCAGTCCTGCAGGTCACATCTGTGTGCGCTCGTGTTTGCTAAATGAAAGTTTGTAGTTGATGTGATTCATTGGAGAGTTTTTCAGTGATCTCTGCATGTGTCTTTCAGCAAACGCGGGCTGGAGTGGGGGTGAAGGTGGGCTCAGGATCAGCTTCTGCTGGAGAGATGAGCAGCAGTGAACCCAGCACACCTGCCCAAACACCACTGGCTGCTCCAGTTATACCTTCACCCGTGGGAACACTGCCCTCACCCGGGGCTCCTCCCATCCCGGGACCCACCAAGGTCACACATACAGACACAAATATAACCACTACTTTCGTTCTGTTTATTTTTAAACTAGAAAGTATTCACTTTTGCATCATTTTTAATTGTCAAGGTCACAGATGTTATGAAAAACTCAGCCAAAGGCTTTTTACCTGTTTACTGATTATAAATGGGTGTTTTTTTTGTTTTGCTTTTTACTTTGGGTGCATTTAAAGTACTGTTCAAAAGTTTGGGATGTGTACGATTTTTTAAATGTTTTTGAAAGAAGCCTCTTATATTAACCAAGTTTGCATTTATTTGATCAAAAATACAGAAAAAAGTAACATTTTGAAATATAATCTCAATTTAAAATACTAATTTTTATTTGAAAACATTTTTTTATTTAAAATGTAATTTATTCCCTTGATGACAAAGCTGAATTTTCAACAGCCATTACTCCGGATTACATGATACTTCCGAAATCATTCTAATATGCTGATTTGCTGCCTTAAGAAACATTTCTTGTTATTAATGAAGACAGTTATATTATTTTATAATATATATATATTAATTTAAATTTCGTTTCGTAAAGGATTCTTTGTTGAATAGAAAGTTTAAAAGAACATTTATTTTAAACATTTAATTAAATAAATGAAATGAGAGGCCACTTTTGATCAGTTTAATGCATTCTTACTAAATAAACGTATTAATTTCTATAAAAAAAGAAAAGAAAGAAAAACTTACTGACCCCAAACTTTTGAACAGTAGTGAATGTCCCAGGGGTGGATTTTTATTAGCAAAAAAAGTTATATAGATCACATTAAAACTTTTTATCATGCATTCATTTATTTGTACTACAATTTAAATGACTCTTTAACAGATTGTATTATTTACCCTTGTCCCAGGTCCAGACATTCAATCCTAAAAATATTAAAATCAGTCATAAAAATAAAAATTATTAAGTTGTTCAAAATGATCAATATTTTTAAAACCATGATCTAAACAATGAGTAAAAAACAAACAAACAGCTGTCACAGAGTTGTGGCACAATTTCCACCACACTGATCAATTTAGCCTGTGATAAAGTTTTTTGTAAAGTTAGTGTACTTGTTTATAAGGGAGACAACAGTGTCAGTGAAGAGCTTGAGATGACATATGTGTGATGTGTGAAGAACACGAATGAGGGAAAAATAATGGAAAAGCTAAATACGACATGTGAACAGAATATTTTTATTGTGTCATTTTCAATCAAGCTGTAACTTGAAAAAATGTAAAATCTTATTTAATTGTGTGTATCTAAGATACATAAAAATATGGCTATGAAATTTCCAAAAACTTTTAAACACCATACATATTTTGAGATGTAATAGAAATGAATGAAAAAAATACAGAATTCTCCATTAATGTATATATTTACACATCGTTAGTGGACAAATCAAATATACTAGTTACTAGTGAGAGTGAAATAGTGGGTTATACGAGATTTTTGTTTTTTAAAAGTCTGCAGGGCCAAAAGTGCCAGTAGTTGAAAAAACACCAAAATCATTTAGAAGGTTCAGAACTATTGAGCAACAAAAACCACAGCATGACTTTTCTCTGATATTCATGTAAATGTGAAAGGTCTCTTACAGTGTCCGCACTCTGCATGCATGCATTCACTCTCTTGCAGGAAGAGGAGTCACTGCGTGCCCAGGTGAAGGACCTGGAGGAGAAGCTGGAGACGCTGAAGATGAAGAGGACAGAAGACAAGGCAAAGCTGAAGGAGCTTGAGAAGCACAAGATTCAGCTGGAGCAGCTGCAGGAGTGGAAGAGTAAGATGCAGGAACAACAAAATGAACTGCAGAAACAACTCAAGGAGGCCAAGAAGGTATCAAGTTACTGCACAGGAATATATCATGAAAAGTGTCAGAGTGTGAATAACGAAAGTGGCTGATATCCTGTTATGTAGGAAGCTAATGAAGCTCTTGAAGCTAAAGAGCGCTACATGGAAGAGATGGCAGATACAGCAGATGCCATTGAGATGGCCACACTGGATAAGGAAATGGCTGAAGAGCGGGCCGAGTCACTGCAACTGGAGGCTGATGCTCTAAAAGAGAGAGTGGAGGAGCTGACCTTGGACTTGGAGATACTCAAACATGAGATAGAGGAAAAAGGTACAAACACACCTAAACATACGCTAGTGTTCAGAAGTCTGGGGACAGGTGTGATGGCAAAGCTAAACATTCAGCAGCCTTGTCTCCAGTTGTCAGTGTAATTTTTCAGGATTTTTTGATGAATAGAAAGTTCAAGAGAACAGCATTTATTTGAAATTTTTGTTTTCGATTTGTAACATTATACACGTCTTTACTGCCACTTTTGAACAATTGAATGAGTCCTTGAGGAATTAATGTATTAAATTCTTTACAAAAAAACAAATGATATTGATCCCAAAATTTCACAGTACATATACGTGTTAGTATTCATTGATGACCACAATATGTGCTTATTAACCTATAAAAACTGGCCTGCAGGTTCAGATGGAGCAGCGTCTAGTTACCATGTGAAGCAGTTAGAGGAGCAGAATGCTCGACTGAAGGAGGCTCTGGTGAGGTGAGTGTGTAATGACTCCCATGGTTTACTTCAGTGTTGTTTGATTTTGGTTGTGCTCTGTGAAGATCATAATATCAACTGCTCTGTGCATTAGGATGCGTGACTTGTCTGCATCAGAGAAACAAGAGCATGCAAAGCTACAGAAGCTAATGGAAAAGAAGAATTTTGAGCTGGATGCACTGAGATGCCAGAAAGAGAAACTGCAGGAGGAAATGAAGATGGCTGAGAAAACAATTGATGAGCTCAAAGAGCAAGTGAGTCGTGCCACTATTAGCACTGAAAGATGTAATGAGAGTTTATTATATCTCTGTGAGTTCAAGAGATATAATTCATTTATATAAATATATGATAAATATGATAATGTTACATATAAAAATAATAATATGATATTTATGATCATATAATATATATTTTTATTACTATTATTATCTACATTATAAAATAAATATAATAATATTTTTCAAGAGAAAAGTGCTTTTGCAACACTGGACAATCTAGTAACATTTAAAGGGGTCATATGATGCTGCTAAAAAGAACAGTATTTGGTGTAATGAAATGTGTTTATGCGGTTTAAGGTAAAAAAAACACATTATTTTCCACATACTGTACATTATTGTTTCTCCTCTATGCCCCGCCTTTTTGAAACGCGTCGATTTTTACAAAGCTCATCGGTCTGAAAAAGCGAGGTGTGCTGTGATTGGCCAGCTATCCAGTGCATTGTGATTGGCCGAATACCTCAAGCATGTGACGGAAATGTTACGCCCTTACCATATTGTGATGATGCCCTGTCAGGCCGGAGCGATGATTCAAAAACATGAAAACCCATTATAAACGAGGCATTCATTGCATCCAGTGGGGACATAATTA